AAAAAAAAAAAAAAAAAAAAAAAAAACATGAATCACATTAAAATAATTTTTTTTTTTTTTTTTAAAGAAGCTATAAAATTGTATAATAAAGTAAATAAAATTTTAAATAAATATGAGTAATTATTTTTTTTATTTTATAAAACTCAATAATGTAGATTAGTAAGATTATCTAAAATTAGGAATATTTGAATAAGGCTTTATTGAAAAAATATATTATTTTTGAATAAATTATACTTTTTTAAAAACATTTATATATTATTTCTTATTTAAAAAATTGCATTTTTTACAGTTTAGTTAAATATCTGTTTGTCTATTTTTTTTTTTTTTTTTTAGTTTAAAATTATAAAATTTCTAGAATGTTCTAATATTTAGATATATTAGAAACATATATATACTAATTTTTCTTGTTCTATAATACACTTATAAAAGAAGGGATTATTCTCTTACAGAAGTGTTTACTTTAAATTATATTAACTTCATTTATTTATATTAAAGAAATCGTTTTTATTTTTTGCTTTTTATATTTGATATTGTTTTTCTGGATATACAATTTTATATTTTAACATTTTTTAAATTATAATTTTTAAAAATAAACTTATAAATTTCTATATAATTTATTCATTGATAACATATATAATTATATCTATTGAAAATGCTTCATATATGTTTTAAGATGCTACAACTTTTTTTTTTTTTTGTTCTACAGAAAACGTTATTATTCTGATATATTTTAATCATGAACATTTAAAATTTTCTTTTTTTCATTCATAAATGTATAATTTTAACAAAGTTTTAAATACATATTATAACTACAGATCACATAAAGTTTGTATTTTTAATACTCTGTTTTTAATTTATAATAGTTCCCATAAAAAAATAAAAATAATGTTAAAAACATATATTTCACAATTCTATTGTATATATATATTGATATCAATAATTTTTATTTTTTTTAATTAATATCACAAAAAAAATTTCATTATTTTAAAAACATTAAAATTATATTAATTTTATTATAAAAAGTAAATATATATATATATATATATATATGTACATTTTTTTTTTTTTGTTTTTATTATGATAAAATATTACAGAAAACACGCGATCTATTTAAATCTATTAAAATTATAAAAGTTTTACTTTTTATTTTTTATTTTTTTCATAAATATAAAATTGAACTATTTGTTCTTTTTTTTTTTTTTTTTTCTTTTTTAATAAAAAAAATTATAATAATTTGAATAGCAAAAAAAAAAAAAAAAAAAAAAAATATATATATATGTGTATATATAAAATATATATAAGATAAATATGTTAAATTAAGAATATAAGTCATCATCTACATTATAATCTTGAGGTTCTTCATTATTTTCTTCATCTGGCCAATCAATGATAAAGTCTTCATTTGCTCCACCAGTTTTTGTTTTATATAAGGGATCAAATTTTAAGCGGAAATTATCATATTTAATTAAATCAGCTTGTGAAACACTTCTTCTTGCCCCAGCTAACCCTTCTTTAAAATGATGTCTAGTAATTTCATATTTTACCGCATTTTCTTCATTATCTTGATTTTGGTTTTCATTATTTTTATTTTCATTGTTTTGATTTTCATTTGGATTTAATTGTAATTTTGACTTTTTATTCATTTCTTCTGCATCTATAGCATCTCTAATGGCAGCTCTTGCTGCTCTTTGGCATAATTCTGCTAAATCAGCACCACTAAATCCTGCAGTTTTTTGAGCTAAAAAATCAATAGGAACATTATCTGCAACAGGGCATTTTCTTAATATAGCATTTAATATAGAAATTCTCGCAGCTAAGTCTGGTAATGGAATATAAATTAATTGGTCTAATCTTCCTGGTCTTAGTAAAGCTTCATCTAATAATTCAGGTCTGTTAGTTGCACCGATAAAGAAAAGATTTTTTTTTGGACCTACGCCATCTATTTCTGTTAACAATTGATTCATAACACGATCTCCTGCACCGCTACCATCTCCTAAAGTTGTTCCTCTTTGTGTTCCTATAGAATCTAATTCATCAAAAAATAGAACACAGGGTGCAGCTGCCCTTGCTTTATCAAAAACTTCTCTAACGTTAGCTTCAGATTCACCAAACCACATTGTTAATAATTCAGGACCTTTAATTGAAACAAAATTAGCTGAACATTCAGAAGCTACTGCTTTAGCTAGTAATGTTTTTCCACATCCTGGAGGCCCATAAAACAAAACACCCCTAGATGGAGACATTCCAAATTTTTCAAATTTATCAGGATGATCAATTGGATACAATATCATTTCTCTTAAGGTATTTTTCACTTCATCTAAACCTCCAATATCATCCCATTTTACATTGGGAACTTCTACAACAGTTTCCCTTAGAGAAGAGGGGTTACATGTTCCTAATGCCATGTTAAAATGATCTTGTGTTACACACATACTTTCTAAAACTTCTTTATCAATAATTTCATCTTCTAAATCAATTACATCCATTTTTTCACGTATACATGTTAATGCAGCTTCTGTACATAATTGTGCTAAGTCAGCTCCAACAAAACCATGTGTATTGCTAGCTAATTCTTCTAATTTCACGTCAGGTGATAATTTCATATTTTTTGTGTGTATTCTTAATATTTCAAATCTTCCATTATCATCTGGTACTCCAATATCAATTTCTCTATCAAATCTTCCGAATCTTCTTAATGCAGGATCAATGGAATTTTGTCTATTTGTTGCTGCAATAACAACAACTTGCCCTCTACTTTTTATACCATCCATTAATGTTAGTAATTGAGAAACCACTCTTCTTTCTACTTCTCCATTTGTTTTTTCTCTTTTTGGTGCAATTGAATCAATTTCATCAATAAATATAATAGCAGGAGAATTTTTTTCTGCTTCTTCAAAAGCTCTTCTTAAATTAGCTTCAGCTTCTCCAGCCATTTTACTCATAACTTCTGGACCGTTTATTAAAAAAAAAAAGGCTCCCGTTTCATTTGCTACTGCTCTTGCTATGCAAGTTTTTCCACTACCTGGGGGACCATATAATAATACACCCCTAGGTGGTTTAACCCCCAAAGTTTTAAATAAACCTGGATGTCTTAATGGCAATTCAATCATTTCTCTAATTTGAGCTAACTGCTTTTTACAACCTCCTATATCATCATAACCGATTTCATCTAATTTTTCTTCATCATCTCTTTTTATAGGATCTCCTTCATAATATATTACTGTATCAGGTGAAACAATACAATAATCATCAGGATCCACTTCAACAACTTTAAATTCGACAGACATAAATCCTCCTCTCACTAAAAATAAATCCCCTTTTTTAACAGGTCTATATGATTCATTAAAATAAGGTTTTAAAAATATTTCAAATAAAGTATCTTTTGCCAATCCTTCTATTGTATCATCTATAGGTAACACTTGAATCTTCTTTCCATATGGAATTTCAGGACAAGGTTTCACATATACAACATCTAAAAAATATAAAAAAATTAACATATGCATATATAATATAAAAAATATATATATAAATAGAAAAAAATATATATATATATTCAAGAAATATAGCATAAATAATGAAATATGTTTTCATTAAAACACATGCAGAAAAAATCAATAATAATAATAAAATAAAAATTATACGAATAAAATTTTAATTTTTTTTTTTTTTTTATTTACCTCCTAAGCATACTCTCAAGTTTTTTCTTGCAACTTTATTGATTCTTATTTTTCCTTCATCTAAATCATTATCATTTAAAATAATACAAATAGTTGAATGCCTTTTTTTTCCTTTTATTAAAATTGTATCCCCTCTAAAAAATTTTAATTCTTCCATTCTTTTTGTGTTTAAAGCAACCACTGAGTTATCATCATTTGTTGCCTCTTCTACTATAAGCCTACTTAAGTTTTTTTTTTTTACTACTTTATTTTCACCATTATTTTCATCAGGTAAAGCTTTAAAATCAGAACTATTTTCCATTATGACTCATCAGAAATATATATATAAATATATATATATATATTAAATGAGTATATATATATTATATGTATAAAAATATATATATATATATATATATATATATATATATATATATATATATATATATATAAATGAGAAAGTAGAACTATAATTATTTAAGTTATAAATTATTTAAAAATAAAAAAAAAAAAAAAAAAAAAGATAAATTGATTATATCATACATATAATTTTATTTTTTTAAGTAACACTTTAGTATTATTTATTATTAAATCCTATTCTGTAATATAAAATTTTAATATTATAATGTGTTTCAATCATAAAAAATAATTCTTTTTTTTTTATTTATTTTTAAATGCTATTATTAAAAAAAAAAAAAAAAAATGAAATAAATCATATATAAACGAAAAAAAATATATATACATAATAAGTTTATAATTTATAAAATGAAAAAATATAATATAAATAAACCTTTTTAAAAAAAAATCTTCGTAAAAGAAATTGTTATAAAAATAACAATGGGAATTTATTAAAAAAATATTCATAGAAGAATTACATTTTGTGAAATTACATTTTTACTATATTGCATTTTGTTATATTAAAAAAAAAAAAAAAAAAAAAAAAACAATTTCATGCACGAAAAATTAGAGTAAAAAAAAATTTTAAGTATTTTAATTGTGTATTTCTAATATAAAAAAAAAAAAAATAAATATATTTTGAAGATAATCTTCTTATACTTTCAAAAATAAGAAATATAATATCCGCTCATATAATTATGTGTTCCATTATTAAAGAGGAATTAATAGGAACATATATAAAAGTGTAAATAAATTATTATTAATCTTTTTTTTTCTATTTTCTTTTTCTATATGTTAGCAATATATACTTTAATTTTTTTATATTTTATTATATTTTTCTTTTATTTTACTTGATTTTCTTTTAATAATTTTAATAATAGAATAAAGACATTTTATAAAAAAATATTTCTAAAAGAATTATTTCATATATATTTTTATAGAATAATAAAATGTTTAAATTTATATTTTTTTCTCAAAATTTTATACTATAATTTTAGTTTTATTTAATATAAAAAGTAAATAATAACTCATGACATTAGGCATGAAAGATATCTACAATTTATGTATATTTTTTAATTTGTATTAATTGAATGTAGCATTTTTTTTATTTATATAGAAATTGAAAAGTGATGAAAAATGATTACAATTAATGATAAAAATAAATTGTAAAATCCTATAATGCTTAAATAAATTTTAATAGTAGTAGCAAAAATAATATCAAGATATTTTATTAATTTTATTATTAAAGGAAAAAAAAATAAAAATTTGTATGTAGAATTACAAAAATAAAATGATAATGAAATAAATAAAAAATTCAAAATATATAAAAAATCTAAAAAAAAAAATAGCATAAAATAGCCACTTTAATAAAAAGCATCTTAATAATTTAATAAGGAAAAATTATATTAATAGTAGTAAGAAAAAATTGCTTTGACTATTTTAAATTAATATTTTTATTATTAACAATTACTGATTTAATAAAAATTTATTTCTTAATGTTTTCAAGAAAATATATTTATATAAAAGTTGAATGCTATAATATTTCATTTAAAAGGAACAAACATCAGTTTAAGAAATACTATGTAAGGACAATTATGGTATATATTAATTAAAAATTCTAATAATTTATAATTTAAATGTATTTACATAAAACTTCACAAAAAAAGAACAAAAAATAATTATTTTTTTTTTAATAAAATAAGATTATGTAAGAAATTTATAAGAAATATATAAATAAATATTTCTTCTTCTTTGTATATATTAACATATAGTAACATTTTTTTTTTTTTTTTTTTTTTTTTTTAATAAATAAAAATATTTATTGTATATATTTGTCTATATGAAAATTTACGAATCCTGTATCTTCAATAATTACATTTAGTAAAACTGGAAAATTATTAAAATCATTACTTGTTATATGTTTCATTTGTTTAATAAATTCCTTTCTATTATCAACATAATAGCCATATCCACCATGTGAAACTATATAATTCTCATATTTACTATGAAAGTATAAGGAAGAGGGGTTTTGCATATAGAAATCAGTATCATCAATGTTTGTTTTTTCTGTTTGATATTCTCTGTTACCATATATTCCATTATTATTAAAAATTATTAAAACAATCTTTAGTTTTAATCTACAAATTGTTTCAATTTCATTTGAAGAAAATCCAAAAGATGAATCTCCTAAAATAGAAAAAGTTATATTATTAGGATTATTTAATGCTGATGTAATACATGCATTCATTGATATTCCCATCATGCCATTTATTTGAGGTATAACATAATTAAATGGTCCAAAATTCGGTAAATATAATATCCCTAATAATAAGGTTATTGATCCTTCATTGGTAATTATTAATCTATTTTTTATTTCTTTATTTAAAAATTTATAATTTTTTTTTTTTTTTTTTTTTCCATAATCTTCATCATCTAAACTGCTATCACTTAGATCACAATCACTTTCAGGAACTTCATTGTCTATTTCTAAAGAATTTATATTATTATCTTTGCTTACATTGTTAACAATTTTATGTTCATTATTTTTTTCATCCACAAAATTAATAAAATCTTCCATATTTTTAATGTCAACATGCCTTAAATAGTTAATGAAATACTTTTTATATGTAGGAGAAATATCATTTATAAAAAAAAAATAATTAATCAATATGTGTCTGATAATAAGTAATGCTTGTTCCATTGTAAATTTTTCATCTTCTAAATATTTTACTATTGAAAAAGATAATTTTTCTATACTCTTTTTTTTTGCTTCATTTAAATTTGTAATCCATTTTTCCCGTAAGTTAATATCTACGACAATGACATTCTTTATAGCAAAATATAATTTTTTCAAAACAAAATATAAATCATAAAAAAAATAATGAGAAATTGATATTTTATTTTCTTCGTATGTATCATTATTTAAATCAATACACAACATATTTTCCTCTTTACAATTCTCAAATTTTCCAAAATTAAAATAAAAATTAAAAACTGAACCAATAGCAAAACAAAAATCAATATTTTTGAAAAGATATGATTTACACTGATTGGCATTATATATATAGTTTTCTTTAATAAAAGATTTTGCTAAAGTATTTGTATATATAGGTAATTTTAAAAGTTTTGATATTTTTAAAACATATTTTATACCATAATGGCAATTAATACCTAAAAAGATAACTCCTTTTTTATTAGAATGATATATTCTACAAAAATGATCAACTAACTTTTTAAATAATATTTTCTCCTCATTAAATGAAGATATATATGATTTATAATCGAAGTATGTTAATGTATAATTATCATTTAATTTTAGTATTTCACTAGCTCTCTCAACTGGTATCTTTTTTTCAATTAACTTGTAATCAATATTTAAATACACTGGTGACTTATTTTTAATAGAGGTACTTATGCAGTTATAAAATTGTGACGTAAAAGACTCCAATGAATCTACATGAAAGCATTCATAACATATCTCTTTTGCTTTTTTTAAAAATTCTAGATGAGGAAAATATTGAAAGTTATAGTATTTTTCAAATAAACTTAATTTATCATCTATAAAATTTTCGAAACATATTAATATCATTGGAAAATTATTAATTTTTGCATTATATAAGCCACTTAACGTATTTATAAATGCTGGACCTGAACATGTTAATAAAATTCCTACTTTTTTTTTTTTTTTATCTAAATCAAAAAAGTTTACATAATTACAGCTTAAAGCGGCATTTATTTCATTTCTGAAACTTACAAAGTAAATGTTATTTTTAATAAAACTGTAAATTATTTTATTTATTGGCAATCCATATAAACCATATATATAATCTATTTCATATTTTTTAAAAATTAAAGCGATTATATCAAAGATATTTATTTCTGTTTTTTTTAGTTCTTCTACACATTCAGAAATATTTTTTCGAGAAATTTTCCCTGTAGGCGTTTTTTGAAAATTATTAACAAAATATATATTTTTTGGAATTTTAAAATCTGCCAAATAAGTTTTCATATAATTTTTTAATGTCTCTTCATATTTGTAATAAGTTAAATTTAAGTTTATGGATTCTTTAACATCATATTTATCATCTAAATTATCTTCTGCAGTATCAATATTTTTTTTATTTTTACTTTTAATATAATTATTTATGGGAATATTTTGTCCATTATTAATATCAACTAAACTATCATAATTTTCATTATTAAAAATGTTATTCTCGTTTAAAATAACGGCTGTATTAATAATTTCTCCATATACATCATCTTTTGATGAAAAAGTTAAACAGTCCCTTACTAAATGATTATTTTTTAAAACGTCATCAATCTCATTAGGAAGTATTTTTTCTCCTCCTCTATTTATTATATCCTTAATTCTACCACAAATAAAAAGAAAATTTTCCTTGTCTATATAGCCAATATCCCCCGTTTTAAAAAAAGAAACGCTTTCCGAAACTTCTAAGAATTTATTATTTATCATGTAATCTTTTTTTTCTTGTATAGTATTTACATATATAAATATATTTTCATTATCTCTTTTTTCTTTATAGCCATACATAATATTTTTTCCATTGATACATATTTCTCCTAATTCATTATAGTTACATATTCTTTTTTTCTTTTCATCATATATTATAACTCCTACATTTGGTATTCCAACACTTTTATATTTTTTATGAATTTCTCTGTTATTTATATGATTTATAAATTTGTTTGAACTAACTTGATGGCAAGCTTCAGTCATTCCATATGCTTGTAAAACAGTAGTTTCAAATTTCTCTTCTATTTCTTTTTCTACCTTTTCTTCTAAATAAGAGCTAGAAGTCCTAATAAATCTTAATTTGTGCTTTATCTTATTCCTATTATTACTTTCTTTTAAAAAATAATCATTATTATAACGAATTAATAATATTTTTAATATTGTTGGTATTGCAGAAAAATACGTTATATTATATTCCACTATATTTGACCAAAATTCAGAAGCACTAAATGAATGACCTTTTTGAAATAAGATATTTCCTTTTGAAAATAAAATGGGTAATAACACACCAATTAATCCATGAACATGATATAATGGCATTATTACTATTGTGTTATCATCTTTATTTATATTATAAGAATTCAGAATATTTTTTATAGTTGTTTTTATATTATTATTTGTTAATTGAACTATTTTTACTTTACTCGTAGTTCCTGATGTGTGCAAATGTAGACAAACATCTTTTTTTTCATAATTTATATTATCAAGATCTTTTCTTTTAAAATACTCTTTATTATTTATTATTTTTTTTTCATTTGAAATATATGAGTAGGTAAAGTATGGATTATTTTTATTTTTTTTTATTTTTATCAAACCAATATGATATTCTTCAGAAATCTCTTTTATATATTCACAAACATTTTTGAAATAGCTATGCTTTTTTTTAATGTCATAATAATTTTCATCATTTTCATCATAATCATGTATAATTATATACTTGCAATTATTCACAATAAACTTTTTATATTCTTCTTTTTTCAAATTGGTATTTAAAGGCAAGCAAATATTACCATTAAAGTTTATGCTTAAAAATGTTAGAACAAATTCAATACTATTATATAAAATGATAGAAATCTCTTCTCCATACTTTATACCTATGCTTTCAAAAAAATTTAGTAATTTTTCTATTTCGATATATAATTCATTATAAGAAAATTGTTTTTTTCTTGTGTTTAAATCTATTATGAATTTATCATTTACTTCTTTTAAATGAAAAAAATTTTTTAATGTTTCTTCATTCATAATTAATTTTTTAATAAAAAAAAATTCTTTATTTTTTTAATAAAAAACATATATATATTACTATTTATGTATAGTAAATTATCATTTTATATAAAATATATGAAATACTTTTTATTTATATATTTGTATATATATTTATATATATATATATATATATATTTTTTTTTTTTTTTTTTTTTTAATATTTTTTAAATTAGCAAAATTTTATTGAACATTTTAATAGGATGCATATTTTCATCTAAATTTTTTTTTTTCATTATATACCCCCTTTCTCCTTTTTAATCCATATACGAATGCTTAGTTTATAAATTCACACAAATTGTATTCTCTATTTAAAAAAATTAATAAAAATTGAGAATAACGAAAAGATTAAACAAAAAGAATGCCTTTTGATAATTTAGGTTTCTTTTTTAATATTAACAAAAGAAAACAGTTTTCTTCATATATAGCGAGGTTGGCAATTTATTTTTTGTTATTTTTAATTTAGAATAAAAATTTTCATAAATTTCATTTTGTATTATTATTTCTTTTTTTTTTTAAAGAAAAAATGAATAATTACTAAAACTATAAAAAGAATAAAAAAGTACACATATTTTTTATATGGAGGGAATTTTTAAATATGAAGAATAAATTCTTTCTAAAAAGATTTTTAAATATAGAAAAAAGATTTTTTTTCAATACCCATCAAATAAATCAAGTTAATAAAGTTATATTTGAATATTTTTATATAGAACAAAAAATATATAAGATCATTGATCAAAATGAAATAAGAAATATATTGTTTTTGGATAAAAGTAACCAACAATTAAATGAGGACACTCTTATAAAGAAGCAAAATTTAGATGAAGAAAATTTTATAAATGCGCAAAAGGTGGAAGACATTATAAATAACAAAACATTTAATGATAATTTAAAACATATAATAAATAAGCATATTAGTAATTATGTAAATAACAGTAAATATTTTACTCATTTGTGTACTTTTTATATATATAATAATGAAAAAAAAAAGTTTCTTGAGTTGATGAAAAAATTTAACGATTACTGTTTTGGTTATGAGGATTTATTTATACTATTTTATTTAATTTGCAAAATAAATTATAAAGATATGCATATAATTAAAAATATATTGAGTGTTTTTGAAATTTATTATTATCAAATTAATAACTCTTTTACATATTCCATTTCTAATTTATTTTTTTATCCATACAATAATTTATACACAGCAATTAATAATTTGCCATTACTTTATAAAATAAAATTAATTAATGTTGATAAACATTATTTTGAAAAAAATAATATTTTACAAGAATATATAGTCAAAAGAGTTTATGAAGAAAAGAAGGAAAAGGATTTAACTAATGAATTTAATAGTAACAACGATACTAAGAAAAATAGTTTTAACAATGAGAATAACATAAATATAGAAAGAAAGGAAAATAACGAAAATTTTGATAATAGTTACATAAAAAATGAAAATTTTAATGAAATGTATAAAAACGAAAACGTAAAATATGAAAAGAAAGAAAATTTTTTGAGAAAAGTAGAAGAAACTGAATCTGAAAATATTTTAGAAAATTTGCAGGATGTAGATATGGAAAAGTATGAAAAAATGATATCAAAAGATAGCGTTAAATTTATTAATATGAATATTAAAAATGAAAAAAAGAATATTAAGATGAAAGAAAGGAAGTATATAGGCTTAAAATTAAAAAGTAATTTATTAATGCAAATAAAAAATGAGGTAAAAAAAAAAAAAAAAGATGCAATTTCTTTTGAGTTAAAAGAGGTATTAACTATGTTTATTCATGATAAAGAGTTATATGAAAAGAATTATTATATAAAAGATTTTGTCAATACATTAATAAATTATTTTATAAAAGATAATAATATTTTGTCAAATAATTTTTTAATCCTTCTTGTGTTTATGCAAAAAACAAACTATTATTATAACAAAAAATTAAACAATAACATTGAAAATATATTAACCAATTACATAAAAAGTATGAATTTATATGAACAAGATATATATAATTTCATAAATAAAAAAATTATATCTCTACAGAATAGTGTGGTAAATGAAAATAAAGAAAATGAAAAAAGTTACAATATATTAGACTTCCTGTATGATCAAAAATACACTTATAATTTTATGTTGTTTGAAGATAATATATTTTATGAAAATAAAATTCAATATTTAACCAATAAATTATTAAAAAATTACTTTTTTCTTATATGCTATTTACTGAGATTGCCATTCTTAAAGCTATATATTTTGAGATCATATATGAATTCCTTTAATATGTTTATAAATATCTTTATAAATAATAAAAATATTTTTTCATATTTTGATATTAAAGAGATTTCTTTTATTTGCACATGTTTTTTAAAAAAAGGTATTATTGATGTAAACATAATTAACAAATTTTTTTTTTTATTAAATTATAAAATTATCGATTTCGAAAAATTGTTTCAGAAGAGTGATAATATAGATATCAACCATAAAAAGAATGAAGAAGTTAATAAAAATATTCCTTTTAACATTAATGATATTCTTATTTTCCTTCATTTTTTATACTTTTTTAATTTAAAATTTTATGACCTATATAAAAGTCTTATTATTATATGCTTCAACTATTTTCACATTCTAAATACTACACAAAAATTGATATTTTTTAATAGTGTAGAAGGGATAAGAAAAAAGAATAACAGAAGTGAACAGCATATATTTGATTATTTTATGTATGATCGGAATTTACAACTTTTTTTAAATCAAAATAAAAACATTCAAAAAGATTCTTTAGGCTTTTTGTTTATTAATTAAATATATATTCAGACAAATGTTTAAAAATGAAACAAAAATAAAAAAAAAAAAAAAAAAACACGTAAACAACAAAAAAAAATTCCATTGAAAAGATAATAAAAAAAATATAAATTAAAATAATGTAAAAATAAAGGCAATAAAAAATAAAAAAAAATAAAAATAGAATTAAAAATAAAGCAAAAAAAAAAAAAAAAAAAAAAGAAACTTCAAGAAAAAAAAAAACCAAGTATTATAAAATATATAATTTTAAATATTATTTCCTCCTTTAATTAAATAAAAAACGACAGAATCACCAACTCTTAAATAAAAATTATGATAAATATAATCATGTTGCAAACCTTCTCTTTTTAAAAAAGTAAAAACAGGATCATATTTGCTTGCTATTATAAAATAGTTACCCCATAAATTATAACTTTTTTTACCTAGTTTTCCTAATGTAAAAAAAAAAAAAAAAAAAAAAAAAAGAGAAAATTAATAAAAATATATATATAAATAATGAAATGAACAAATTTATAAATATATTAATACCAGGTTGAACAGCTTTATATATGGATTTCATAACAGTTACATCTATTCCAGAATATATTGTGCTGATATGTTTTAGGTGTGGCAGTAAAGATTCAAAAGTAATTAAGTTATTTTCTTTTATTAAAATTTCATATTCCTCCTTATTATACCATAATTGATCATCTAACTGGTTATTATAAATTATATATTTACTTAATCTGTTTGATATAAAATTTATAGAATTAAAATCAACATTTCCAATGCAATTATATAAATTTATTGGTATGCATATATAATCATTTGAACAAACATCATTATTTATTATATGAGAGACATTTATATCATCACCATTATTATATGAAATATCCTTATGTATCTCAATAGTTCTTGATGAATTTTTTTTTAAGACATTAAAATTAAAGTAAACATAGTAGTTACTTTTCCTTTTATCATATATATAATTGTATTTATAACCAAATCTATTATTGTAACCTATACATCCTTTTTTTATCTATAAATAATAACAAATTATTAAAAAAAAAAAATGTGCGAAAAATAATATATAATTTTTTAATTTTAACTGAATAATAAATATATATTTTTTTTTATTTTTTTTATTTTTATTAACTTTTGAAATTAATATGCAATCTAGCCTAAAAGATGGTTTATCAGTATAAAGATATTCATATTTATAAAAGAAATTAATTGGTGTAAAATATAAATCATATATTTTTTTAAAATTATAATAAATATTTAAACATATATAATCTAAAAAATCGCTGACATAGATATAGATAATGGAACATGTTTTTTGAAATGATAATAAATCTTTACAGTTTAAAAATGATAATACATTCTGCAAAATTTTTTTTTCCTTAAATATATTTAAAAATTTATTTAAAACTTTATTAATTTTTTTCTTATTATCTTTTATTTGTATATTATTACTATTATTTATCTCCGGAGTATTGCCTTTTATATTTCTAGTATATGAGTCATCAGGTAATAGTTTTAATTCAATACATTTAAAGGATGACTTAAAAAATTCTTTATTATCCATATGTGAATTTTTAATTATAGTAGTGTTATTTTTTTCCTCATTAAAAAAAATATTTTCATTATTATTATAATTTATTTCATTACTTTTAATATTTTTGTTCAAACTATCTGTTGTTTTTAATAGTACAATTTCAGCTGTTTCTGTGTTTTTTAATTTTTGATCTTTTTCGTTTTTTATTTTTCCCATATGTTTTAATAATTTTTTTTTCTTTAAAAATTTATTATGATTATTTTTTTCTTCTACATTATAAAAATATCCGTAATCTAACTCAAAATTTTTTTTAGGATTTTCATTAGTTTTTTTTTGTTCACTTATATCTTTTAGATGTTTTTCTTCTTCATCCTGCTTTTCCTTATTTTTTTTAATTATGTTATCTTCTATATTATCAGTTTTCTTTTTATAAATATTTTCATTCTGTTCTTTCTCTATATCTTTCTCTTTTTTAAATTTTATTTTTACATATTTATTTTTATTTTCTTTATTGTCTTTGGTTTCTTTCTCTGTTTCGTTTTCTTCATATGTGTTAAATAATTCAAAAATTTCATTATTAATGTTATGTAAATTTTTTTCATTTAACTTACATATATATAGATTACTTTTAATATCAATATCATTTTTTTGTTTTATTTTATTTTTTATATTTTTATATAAAATATTTTGTCTATGTTTGCTTTCAGATATTTTGTTACCCATTTTAAAAAAATATATATACATATATATATATATATGTATATATATATATATATATATAATTTAAATATTTAATATAAAGAAAATTATATTTATGATAATTTTATCTTTTCAAGTGTAACGTATTCATAAATTAAAAATATTTGTATTTTTTTTTTTTTTTTTTTTTTTTTTTTTTAAAAAAAAAAAAAAATNATATATATACATATATATATATATATGTATATATATATATATATATATAATTTAAATATTTAATATAAAGAAAATTATATTTATGATAATTTTATCTTTTCAAGTGTAACGTATTCATAAATTAAAAATATTTGTATTTTTTTTTTTTTTTTTTTTTTTTGTTTTTTTACAAAAATAAAAAATATATGCTATGTGTAATATATCATGCAAACATAAAAAAAAAAAATTAAAAAATTCTCATAAAAAAAAATAAAACAAAAAAAAATTCAAAATATTTTAGAAAAAATAAAAGGTAAAAGAAATTAAAATGACGATAATAATAATAATCAAATTAATAAAATTTAAAAAAAAATAAAAGTAAAATTAGCATGTATTTCTAAAAAAAAAAAAAATAAATATATATAAATGTCTTATTTAATATTTTTAGGTAGATTTTTCATAATAGTTTTATATATATTATGAATATTTTTTGAGGATGTAGATTTTTTGTTGCTTTGCTTCATATAAAAAATATTATAGTTTACTAAAAAATAATTAATTATGAAAAGAAATTTTGTTTTTATGTTTTTTTTTACATATTTAAAATAATTAATAAAGTGAGCAATACAAAGTACACAACAAAGTATATTTAATGATTTTTCTCTCTTTATTATTTTCCTTTTTATTATAAAATTATTATTATTAAGTATATTATTTTTATAAAATATTAGCATACTTTTCTTATTTCCTTTTTTATTCGTTACACTAAAAAATAGTACAAAAATTAAAATTAATAGGTATTTTTTATAATGCTTTTTTTTGTTTATAAAAACAATTCTTTTTTTTTTGAAACACATTTTAATAAAAAGCAAATTATGATAAATATTAAAAAATAAATCTATTATATCCAAAAATATGTGAATTTTATTTTTTTTATTATAATAATCTAAATTACTTTTATATACATTATTATTACTATTATATATATTATCTTCTTTACTATTTTTATTATATATCAAAATACAAGTTCCATAAAAAGTATTTATAAATTCATTAATTTTAATATATAAATCAGTATTTCTATTATTAGGTAATATAAATAATTCAATTTGTTTATTATATAATTTTAAGTTTATTTCTAATAATAATTTTAGTAATAATTCATAAAAAAAATTAATTAAATAATTGATACTAATAAGTATTTTATCATCCTCGAAATCAATTTTTTTGTTTTTGTCTTCTATAAAATTCAAGTTATAACCTATATAGAAGTTTGTTTTCTCTTTATTTAAAATGGATTTATATATTATTTCACTATTGTTATTCTTATAAAATAAAGTAGGATTAACTTTTTCTTTTGTATGTAAAAAATAAGCACCTGACTTTTTATTCAAAATATTATAGTAACAACTTCCTTTATATTTTTGTTCATAATTTTTTAAGTGTATATATTTTTGAATGCTATTTATATAATCTGAGTTTTTTTCATGATGATAAAATACCATTTTATTTTCCCGATTTACATGTTTTTCATTTTGATTATTTATTAATTGTAATTTATAAGATATAGAAGAAAATGCTTCGTCAAAAAAATGTAATAGGTATTTGAAATCAGCAAAATATCCAATATAAAAGGAAGATATTAACATAAAAAAGAAGAAATGAAAATGTGAAAAATTAAAACAATTAATATTAAAAAAGAATAACAAATTTATGAAATGAGTATATATAGAATTATTTAATACTATTAAATAATTAGACTCTTCAAAATTTAATAATTTATAACATGATTTTAAAATAGATTTAATAAAAGAATGACCAGAAAAAAGAAAATTTGCATTAACATGAAAAGATTTAAAAGAATCATTTGAAAAAATATATTTCCTTAAAAAAATATTCTTCTTAAAAAAAAAAAAATGTAACAAAAAATAATTATCAAACATTTTTTTTTTTGATTTTAGTATACTTTTAAAAAAAAAAGATTTTTCTAGAAAAAAAAAATTTATAATTAACAATATTATAAATGAGAAATTATGGCTATTATTACTAACTTGTAATAAAAATGGAAAAATTATATTTTGAAATTTCAATCTATTTTTTAATATATATATACATTTATCATAAAAGAGAATGACATTTTTTTCAGAAAGTGTAATACTGCTATAATTTTGCATATAAGGAAATTTTATCAGTAATAATAAAAAAAAAATAATCTCATGACTTTTTCTTCTAAATATATGTAAAAGTAGAAATAATGCCCTTTTCCATCTTAATAAAATTAAGACATAAAATGTTTGATATAAAATTAGTAAACTTTTTTTTCTTATGAATTTATTACATATATTTTTTTTTAGATAAAATAAAAATTGAATACACAATTCACTGTTCCATTCATAATAAATGTTTTTCAAAATTTTTTTTTTTTCTATTCTAATTTGTTTTGAGCAGATACTAAATTTATTGTTAATATATTTATATTTCATATATCCCTTATATAAACTTAATCTTTTTTTATTTAAATTGTAAAAATGCTCATAATTCAAAATATTTATTTTATTTTTCATCTTAGAATAAATGCTAATTTTAATTGACCTATTTTTATTCCTAAAAAAAATCTTACTCATTGACATTACTTGATTATTATCATGAGAACTCATCTTATCTACTTTTCTTCTTCTTTCTAATTTTTTTTTTATATATAAATGATAAATATATTTTGTTTTACATAAAAAATAAAAGATTTTAAGAAAATTATAAAGATCTAAATTTTTAAAAAATATAATTTGAGCATTATTTTTTCTATCTTTTAAATTGCATTTATTATTTAAAAAAATATATTCATTTAATTTTTTTTTTATGTATTGAATATAAACATATTTTTCTTTTCTGCTCATTTTACACATGGATTCATTGTTTCCGTTAAAATAAGTGAAGTTATTTTTTTTCATAAATTTTATTTTTGATTTTAAATATTTATTTCTGTATTTTTTTTCTGGTTTTGTTACAATTAAATTATTGTTCACAGAATTAACATAACATGTAGAATTATAATTAGTGAACAAATTATTATTTAAATTACAATGTATATAATAATTTCTATATTTTATATAATTTTCATTTTGACAGCAGTATAAAAATTTTTTACCTTTTCTTAAAATAATGTTGTCATTATATTCTCTCATTTCTTCCTGTTTAATATAATCAATGTATTCATTTAAATATGTAAATGTAGAAAATTTTTTAATTAAAAACTTTAAATGAATATTTGAATTAGTAAATATATTATTAAAAGTGTTTAATAATATATCTAATAATAATATATTATTATTTAAGACTTCTTTATTAAATTTTTCAAAAAATTCTATTTCTTTATTTGTCATAATATTTACATAACTTATATTGTTTTTTTCCATATTTTTATAATTATTAAAAAATAATGATTTCACTAAGTTATTTGTTGTATTATTCATTTTATAATCTCTAGATAAAATAAATAAAATTATCTGAAATCTATAAATTTTAAAAAAAGCTTCATACAGCATAAAATACTCATAAATTTGTTCATAGTCATTTATATTGATAATATAAACCCCTTCTAAAACTTTTTTATAAAAATATAAATTTTTTGAACCATTTAAAAATTCATGAATATTAATTTTATCTTTTTTTTTTTTATACTCAATATTATATATATTTTTAACATACTTATTTAAATAAAATATGTTTGAAATATTCTCCATACATTCATAATAACGGTTTAGATATTCAAAGTTATAAATATGTTTTTCCTTATTTTCTTCCATTTCGTTATTAATATTGAAAACAAACTTTTTTTTTAAAAAACTGTTTTTCTTTAAGTGACCCTTAATGTAGAATGTATCTGTTTTTTTATTTTTATTTATTTGCATACATTTAATAGATTCTTTTTTTTTCTTAAAGTAATTTGAAAGTTTGTCATAAAATCTATAGTAATTGTATTCCTTATTTTTTTTGTAGATACTTAAAGATAAATAAAGAATCAAAAAAAGTTCATAATTTTTGAAAGTTGAAATACTGCTATTCAATTTAAAAAAAAAATGTTTTTTCTTAAAATGTTGAAATAATTTATAAAAAATAAAATTTTTGTGCTGATTTTTTTTTTTTTTTTTTAATTTTAAATTTAATGCATACATATTAACATTTTTCATATAGTTGTATAAACTTAACAAATACAATTCATATAACTTATTATTTTTTATAAAAATATTACATAATATATTTTTTTTATTTTTATTACATATTTCTGTATAATTTTTTTTTTTATTTTTGTTTAAATTTACATTAATTTCATTACTTAACTTTTTAATTATATTTTCATAGTCATTATTTTCATAATTATTACTATAGATAATTGTTTCAGTACTTTCTCTATTTTTTTCATAAAATTTCTTCTTTTGATAAATTCCTTTATTTTCATTTATTTTTTCATCTTTAAAAATTAACTGTTCTTTTTCCTTTATTGTTTCTTTCTTTTTTTCAAAGAGTGCAGGAAAATTAGTTAGACATATATTATTTCTATGTGTATAATTGGTAATAATAATTTCTAAATATAAAAATATATAAAAATAATGTAAAACGTTATAAAGAATATAATAATTATTTTCAATAAAATCAATAAATTTATAAATATTTGTTTCATCTTCATTTTTGTTAGCATAAGAAATCTGCTCGTTACTATTGTGAATATTAGAAAAAACGATATTGTCGATAATTTTATAAAAAAGATATTTATATTTTATAATTATTATTTTCATTATGTTATATAATTTTTTAATTTTTTTAATGTTAAAGTTAAAATAATGAAAATCAATAATAAAAAGCTTATCATCATAAAAATTATTCTTATAAATATAATTTTTGTCTATTAATAAACTATTAATACCCTTATCTGCATAAGATAATAAATTGCTTATATTTTTTTTTATCACATCTATATTTCTTAATAATATACCTTCAATGTTTTCTATATAACAATTTTCATTAATCGTAATCAAATTTTTTTCAATAAAGAAAAAAAAATTTATATCATAAAATTTTTTTCTATCCTTTATGTAATTATGAAAAATATTTACAAACATATAAAAAATATAAAAAGAATATTTTTCTAGTTTTTTTAATTTTTCTATATGATATCTTAAATATTTCAATAATTCAAAATTTTCTTCTAAATAAATTTCACAAAAATAAAAATTAAATTTATTCTTATAATTCGATCTACTGGAAAAATTAAATGATGTAAAAATATTATCATTCATATTTAATGTCCAATAAAAGTCTTCATTTAAATTGTTATTATAATATAATAAATATAATTTATTTTTTGATAAAAAAGAATCAATTATTCTATCTCTTTTAAAATAATGCTCATACATATTCTCTTTAAAGCTCATTTTATGTCTTTTATTAAATTTATTGGTTGTATTTACTTTAGCGTTATGTACACAAAATTCATTATTATTATTATTTAAATTAGTATTATTCATATTACTTGTATTAATTTTATCTTTACTTCTTTTATTTATATTTACTTCAATGTCCCCCTCATTGCTACATTTTTTTGAAAGATAATTTTCATAATTGTAATTAATATTGTTATCATTTATTTTCTTTATAGTTTCATCTTGCTCATTTAAAATTTCATGTATTTTTATGTTATTAATAGAATTACTAGTTTTATATAAAGAATAAGAATATTTCACATTCATATCTAAAATTTCTTCAATTTTAATATTTTTAATATTAATCAAGAAAATTTTTTTACTTTTTATTTTATTTAAAACTTCTTCTGCATCATTTAAATTATTTATTATAAATGATATGCACTTTTTGTTTTCAGTATTTTCTTCTTCTAATAATATTTTTTTTAAAAATTCCTTAATATGTTTAATATCATTTGATAGATTGAGTTTCTTCAAATATTTGTCTTCTTCATATTTTTCACTTTCACTTAAATTTTTATTTGTATTACATGAATTTTTTAAAAACATAAATGGATTAGTTTGTTCAAATAAAATAAAAAAAGTATTATTAATTTTATAACATACATTTAAATTAGGCTTTAAAGGAATATTATAATTAGAAAATTTTGTTAAAATTATTTCTAATAAGTTGATAAAATATTTGTTATTCAAAAAGTAATTTTTGTAATAACTGAAGGAAATATTATTATTGTTAGAATTAAAAAAAAATAAATAAAAAAAATAAAAAAAGGAATAATAGTAGACTAAAGTATTTATAACCTTTTCTTCATTGCTGAGCCATATTCTACCATTTTTTCTTAAACTTAAAATCATGACTTTTTTTTTTTTTGTATTCAAAAATACTGATTTATAATTGTTATTTTCTTTTTTCCCTATATTCTTAAAATTTATTTTTTCTTTCATAATAATTTCATCAAAATTTATAATAGCATTGAATTTTTCACATGTAACTAAAATTAATTTTTGTAAAATTTCTATATGACTGATAGCTCCATTTACTTTATCAATAATTAACAATGATGTTTCTTGGACTATTTTATTCTTATTTTTTTTTAAAATAAAACATGACAATATACCATCTATATCTCCAACAAATATATATAAGGAATCATCTTTTATAATGTATTTTATACTTGTTATACAATTTTTATGAAGGTGATTATTCAATTTAATTATATTTTTTTTTTTTTTTTCTTCTTCTTCTTCTTCTTCTTTTTCCTTTCCTTTTATCAATCTCTTATTTTTTATAAGAAATATATTTCCATTATCTGTTCCAATTATTAACACATTAAATTTATCAATTATGCATATCTATTTAAAAGGAAAAAATACATTATGATATTAGAGTAATATATATATATATATAATATATATATATATTTATATATATATATTTAGACGATTTTTTTTACCTTTGTTATAATTTTATTCGTTGAAAGTTTTATTATATTTACATAATGAATATCTTCAAATAAACAAAGTTTTTTTTTTTTAAAAATAAATATTCTTCCTTTTGTAGATCCAATATAGATATATGTTTTGTTTATGCACAAAGAAAAAAGAATATTTTCATTTTGATCATTTTTTTCATTTATATTTAATTTATATAAAAAGGCAAAAGTTTTCATTTTTATTTATAATACATTTTACTCTATTTTATTCAAAATATAATGTAATAGGAATAAGTTATATTATTATATTTCGAATACTAATATTTAATTACATTTACTTTTTTTTTTTTTTTTTTTTTTTTTTAATTATATATATAAACGTATATATATATATATATATATTATTTATTGCATTTTTTTTAAAACATTTATTTATATTAGGACTTTATTTTAATTACTAAATTTGTTTTATATGAATTATTTACAGTAAAAATTTTACACGTAGTAAATAATTTAAAATAATTATTTATACTAAAATATATAATTATAATTTAATTTCTTATGTATTCATTTAAGCTTCTTTTTTTTTTTTTTTGAATTACAGAAATTTACATTAATATATATACTAACAAATTTATATTAAATAATATTATTTTTAATTCTATTATTATTCTTATTTTTTTTTTTTTTTTTATAGTGAAGTATTAATTAAATATTCAATTTTTTAATTTCATTTCATAAATTTGTAACTTTATAAAAATTTATATTTTTTCTTAAAAGAAATTTTCTAATTTAAATTATAAATATGATGATTCCTATAAAAAAAAAAAAAATACTTTAATGCGTAAATGATTTTTCAAAAACCAAATAATCAAAAATGCCGTGTTACAAAATATAAGTTAATCAAATATATATCTGAAAACTGAGTTCTTATAATACCTTTGTTTAAATTTTTCGTTAGTTATTTTTTTGGAATGAAATAATATTTTATAAATCTATCTTAAAATATAAAAAAGGAGAAATTACTAAAATAACTAATATATGTGTTTAAATATTTAAATGTTATCATTGGAAATAGATGAAAAGTTGTTCTAATATAGACTAATAATGCATATAATAATTAGAAACATTAATTATATTTTTAAAGAACATTTTATGGGGATAAACAAAATTTTATATTTATTATTTTCATTCTTTTTTTTTTTTTTTTTTTTTTTTTCTTGTATTAATAATACAAAATTAATAAAAAGTTTTTTTTTTTAAAGTTACTTTTCAATTTTGTAATTTTCAAAATGGATTTTCAAAATCGTGTAGGTCATAAAACAGGCAGTGGTATGCCACTAACTAAAGAAGATATTAATTTAGAAAGAAGAGAGAGACTAAAGCAATTAGCTTTAGAAAATATTGATATTACAAAAGATCCATATATTTTGAAAAATAATGTTGGAATGTATGAATGTAAATTATGCTTAACTTTGCATAATAATGAGAGTTCATATTTATGCCATACTCAAGGAAAAAAACATCAGATGAATTTGGGGCAACGATTGCTTAAAGAAAAAAATGAAATGGTTAGTAATAAATTAAACAAAACAGTAAGTGAGCCTAAAAAAATAATAAAAATAGGAAAACCGAGATATGATGTCACAAAAGTTAAAAATAAAAAAAATCAAATTGGAATTTTATTTGAACTATCTTTTCCAAACATAAAAGAAAATACAAAACCAAAATTTCGTTTTATGTCATCATTTGAACAGAAAATTGAAATTCCTGATAAAAAATATCAGTATTTATTGTTTGCTGCAGAACCTTATGAAACGATAGCTTTTAAAATACCAAATTTAGATATTGATGAAACTGACGATTTTTACTATAAATGGTTTGAAAAAAAAAAAATTTTTGTTATGCAAATTCATTTTCAAAATAACCCTGAACATTTACATTTACGTGAGCAGAATAATTTTTTGCCCTCCACTATTAGATGGTGATTTTTGTTTTTAGTAATAAAATATTATATTACTATGAAGATATAAAATTTTGTTTTATTTTTATGAATTTTTTTTTTAATAAAAATGTTTAAAATTTAATTTTATTTTTTTTTTAAAATTTATTTTAGTGAGAATACATTAATAGTTAGTTTTATAACTATTCAATGATATTTTTTTTTTAAAAAGTTAATTATAATGATAATAGATGAAATGCAATTTTATAATATTTCATGTATTAAAAATAAAAAAATGAGATAAATTTTAACTTTTATTCATATTTTTATTTTTTTTTTTTATAATACGTTTGTATATTTGTGTAAATGAAAAAAAAAAATATTTAAAAAAAATGCTAATTTATACATAATTTTAAAACTTAAAATATATAAAAAAAATTATAAACATATATATATGATAATTATCATTAAAGTAAAAAAGGATAATATATGAGAAAATCCGGAAGAGTAAGCTTTTAGTGTTTCAAAAGACATTTTACACTTTTCCAAATCTTTATTAACTATGCTCTCTTTAAGTTCACCAAATAACCTATCTTTTTTTGCTTCTTTATCTTCATCCTCATCTTCATCTTCATCATCTTTTTTCTCACTGTTCTTTTGTTCTTCATCATTAGTATTTTTGGTACTTTTTATAAAACATTTGTCGAGAAAATCGTATAATCCTGAAACATATAATTCATCATTTGATCTATTTAATGTAAAAAATTCTCCCATAGGATTAATATTACTTCTATGAATAGCATTACACACATTATCATCATTAGAATAATCAGATTTTGATTTTGTATCTTCACTGTCCCCAGTCTTATCCTCATGTAATTCTTTTGTACCAGCATTATCACATTTAATAACTTTTTTTCCTGGTAAGTTAGGATAATTAATTTTATTTTGCAATATTAATTCATATAAATTTAATTTTACATCATGGCGTGTTGCTAGATGTGTAGAACCTAAACCATTATTGTTTTTTATATTTCCATATAATGATAAATGAAAGTCAGCAATGCTTAATTCTTTCTCAGATTTTTTAAAAGATAAAAAAAGTGATATAGATCCAACATTAAAATTATCATTGGTTATATTAAAATATGAATTATAAACAGAAAATAAGTTTTCGACAAATTCATCATAAAAATCATGTTTTGTAGATAATTCATTAGACATCTCAATAAATTTTATGTAATTTTCATATGCTTCTCTTTCTTGAGGAATTCCCATTAGTGAATGTATTTGAGCATCTTCACAATTATATGAATATTTAGAGCAATTTTTAGAATATCCTAAGTTTTTTGCATTTGCATTTGTTAGGCCTTTTATATGCGTTTCTTTTAACTTATCCTCATCCAAATTCTGTAGTTTTACTTCATCACCTGGCCTTTTTTTGAGTTCTTTTGGGATTTCCATAGGTCCTTTTGGTTCTTTTTCATTAATTTCTTCCAATTTTATACCATTTAATTCTCTTAACATTTCTTCAAAAATTTGATTTAAGCCTTGTTTATACATTTCCTCTGACTCATATGTACTTATTTTTTTAAAGATTTCCGTATACATATCCTCTAAATTTCTTTTATCCGAATCTTGTATATCATCATTATTCATTAGTTCTTGAATTTTTTTTTTCACTTCTTCTTGGGTTTCTTTATTCATGTATTTTATGTTTTTTTCATTCATTTCTCTTAGGATTTCTCCAAGCACTTCACTGAAATTTTTTTTATCTATTTTTTTTATGAGTTCTGTTAACCTTACCTGTGGATTCGATGTCACTTTTTCGTTTTCTTTATCCTTTTGCATTGAGTTTCCTTTTTCTAATTGTTTGCTTTTTTCATGTACATTTTCTATTTTTTCTCCATGCACTTTTTGTAAGATTTGTTGAACATCTCTTTTTTGGATTTTTCTATCTATTTGTTCTGAGGTTATGTTATCCTGTAGTTTTCTGTTTTCAACACTCACTTTTTCTGGGTTTCTTTCATTCTTTTGTTTTAAGTTTTTACTAATACCTGAATTATTTATTTGTGTATGTGCTAAAGAAACATTTTGTTCTTTTTCTTTATTAAATGGCGTTTCTTCTTTATCTAATACATAATTGATATCCAATATTTTACCTTTAACTTCAGAAAATTTTTCTGCATCACGTAAATAATTTTGTGTGGTGGGAATATTAGGATTTACGTGATATTCTTTATTATAATGATGATTATTTTCAGAAAGAACCTCTGATTTAATAAAGAAATAAGAGAGAAAAAGTAGTAAAAGATAGTACATTTTTCTTATTTTTCTTTAATAATAAAATTTTTGTTAAATTAAAAAGATGTAGAATAAATATAAATTTTTTAATATATATATAAAATTGTATATTTCCAAAAAATAGGAAAATTTTATTAAACACCAAGTTTATTTAAAGCAGAAATAAATCTTATTAAAATTAAAATAATTTATTTAAAATATTTAAAATTAATTAAAAATTAAAAAAAAAAAAGTTTTTATTATTTTTTTTTTTACTACTTTTATATCTTTGGTTGCAGGATCGTTATTTCTCTTTCTCTTTTTTTTTTTTTTTTTTTTTTTTTTTTTTTTTTTTTTTATTATTATAGCTATCTCACAGCTTTATTTTTTTTTTTTTTCTTTTACAAAAGCTTTATATTTTATTTAATTTTTCTTCTTTCTATACAACAATTAAGCTACTTGTATTGGTAACAATTGTTTCTATAGCATGTCTGTGAATTTCTCGTATTTTATATCATTTTACGCATTTTGATACATTTTGCTTTGAATACATACATATGCGTATGTATATTTTTGAATTAATTGAAATATCATACTTTTAATAAATATATATATGAACATGCTTTTTTTTTTTAAGCTGAATATTTTTTTTTGCAACGAGATCAGATAATGCATAATTTCTAAAATGCACTTTGGAATTAAGGAAATAATAGGTCCTTTGGATAAAAAAAAAGTTGACTTAAAAAAAAGAAATTCATTGCCATAATTTTTTTTTTCTTTATAAAAACAATAAAGTTTATACTTCCTTTTTTTTTTTACAAATTATAATTGATGTATTATATATATATATATATATATATATATATATATATATATATATATATATACACATATATAACAGAAAAGCCTTGGAACATACTTTCTCTTAAATCCTTTACATTTTCTCCCCTCACTTTTTTCTTTTTAATTTATTTTTATTTGTTTAAATTAAATTATACATAATAGAAATATTATTTAAATAAAATAAAATACATTCTTATGTATATGTACTTTTAGTCAGAAGATAACATTAATAATGCTAGTAGCTTCAGCTTACAAAATCTATATATATATATATATATATATATACGTTTTAGTTTTTTAATACAATGAATAAAAGATTTCATTATTAAAGAAATGTATTTTGTAAGATAATTAGTAAATTAAAAACAATTTTAAAATTATAAATTTAAAAGTTCTATTATTTTTATAGCCTATGAGTTTATATCTTTTTTTTAAATGTACGCACTAAAAAAAAATTTGAAATTTTACTTTTTGAATATATAAATTTTTTTTTTTTTTAAATTACATTTGTAACAGCTAAAAAGTTATTTAATAAATTTATAGATTAGTAAAGAGAAAATGACAAAAAAAAAAAGTAAATTTTTTTATTTTAATTCCGTAAATATAAATTTTAATTATTGAAAAAATAATTTTAATATCTTTTAGCTTCAAAGAAAAAGAGAAAATACATTTTTTTTTTTTTTTTTAATAGAAATATATACTTAAAATATATATTTTTTTTTTTTTTTATATGGAAGATGCTTTAAATATATAATAAATACAAATTGTATTTTTATTTATAAATATTAATATAAATACTTTTTTCCTTATTTTTTTTTACATTTTTTTTTTTGTTAAATGCTAAACCTTATACCAAAAAAAATTGTCCCAAAAAGTTTGCTTTTTGGAAAAAAACCAATTCAAAGAATCCGAGTTGGTAAGATAAAAGTATAAAAAAATATTTGTACATATAGAGATATGAATAAAGTTCTTTTTATTTTTTTTTTAAGGGAAAAGTAAGAATGTTTTAGAATTAAGTTTAAGTGATGTCAATTCTATATATGAAGATGTTAATGAAAATATAGATTTGCATAATAAAGATTACAATCCGTTGAAATATAAGAAATATATAAATTATAAAATTTCTGCTTTGAATTTAATTGAAGCCTATAAAAATGAAGAAAACAAGAAGACTGCATTAACAAATATTAAGTGGTATTCCAAGATTAGGGATTATTTTTTTATAAATTTTTATAAAAATCAAATACAATTAAAAGAAAAAATGGTTCCCAAATTTTTTTATCCAATAAAATAATGATTTCACTTTTTTTTTTAAAATATGAAGCTTTTATTTTATAATATTCCTATTTTTTTTATGCATATAGTACAATTATATGATATAATTATTAACATACATTTATTTTTATTTCATATTTTATTTTAAAATAATTACGTATTTTTCGTTACTTATAAATATAAAAAACAATTATTTTAATATGCAATATGAAAATTTTAAATAATAAAATATAAAAAAAAAAAAAGAAGTAAATAACTGACATAATATCAGTTTATTTTACTTAAGTTATGTCTACTTTCTTTTAAATCTTTTAATTTGCTATCATTAGTATTAAGTTTAAAAACTTAATTTGATAAATCTCTTGGATTATTTAAGTCATAATGTAAATATTTGTTCCATTTCTTATTATCATAGTAATTAAACTGTGATTCTTCTAAATGAGGAATTTCATTAATATTAAAAGTAATAACATTTTTTATCTGCTTATTATTTATATTATCATTATCATTATTATATTTTTTTTTTTTATCCAAAAGTAGAGCGTCATCAATTTTGGAATCCCATTTATTTTCTAGTAATTTTTTATGATAATAATATTTAGAATTAGCAACATCACGAAATTCTTCAAATATTAAATATTTTTTATATGAATTTATTAAGTTGGTTTTTTCCTTTAAAAGAAGATTTAATAATGAAGTTTCTGTTAACTCTTGAAAAAACTTCACTTTTTTTATAGGTACATATAAATCTATAAATTTTTTTAAGGTTTTTTCGCTTGATAGAATAGTTAATGCATTTTTTATAAATTCGGATCTGTTATTATAAATAATAAAATTATCTTTAAATGCTCCCAACATATTCTTATGTTTTTTGATAATCTTTCTATAAATATCATCATTTTCATAAATATACATTTTAACCCTTAAATATCTAAAAAAGTTATTTGTCCATATCCAATATAATTTTAGAGTATAATTATCCATAAATTCTACATCTTCCGGTAAACATTCATCGGCTTCATTCACAATTTTTTTAATTTTTTCATTCATTAAATTTTCTGAGCAAAACACTAAAAGAAAGAGCAAATATAATATATTTAAAATATAAAATTTCATGATTTCTTTTTTTTTTTTTAAGTATGAATTAATAAAAACATTTCATCAAAATTAACATGATATTTCATTTGCATTCTAGAACTATAAAAAAAAAAAAAAAAAAAAAAAAAAAAAAGAACAACGCAAACTCAAGGATTGGAAAAAAATGAAGACATATATATTTTAAGTATTAGCTTAATTTTTAATCTTTTTTTAATAAATACATTTAATTGTAAAATAAAATTTCTTATTAAAATATTTTAACAAATAAATTTAACAATTAAAAATTTATATATCTATATATAAATCTTGGCTAATGTTGGTTAATTACAAAAAAATTTAATTTTTGTAATATTTATATATACAAACACTAATTATTATATAAATTTATATCTTATTTAATTTCATTTTTAAATATTTGTTTTTTTTAAAAAAATAAATTGAAATTAATAATGAAGTTTTCAGAAATATTTTTTTTCTTCTTCCAATAAAATCTTAAAAAAAAAGTTGAAGTCTTGTTAAATTTTTTACTTTTTTATTACTTTTAATAAAAAAAAAAAAAAAAAGACAGAATTTTTGTTCTACTTAATACACCACAATATATATATAACAACTGTTATTATAGATTAGAACATATGAAGAGATATTCTAAAATACTTAAGGAATGAAAAAAAAAAAATAAAAAAAATATAAATTTTGAATATCTGTAGAATGATTTGATAATGTAAAACGAATATTAAAAATATTTTATTTTATTTTATTTTATTATTTTTTATTTTTTATAATTTATATTATATTTTAAGAAGAAAAATAAAATGATTTGGTAATTTAAAAATATAAAATTCACATGATATTTAAAAATTTTTTAAAATATTCTTTTGATAAATGCACTATTTCTTTATTTAACAAAAAATATAGTGTTGTTTTACCTTTGAAAGGAAAAATGAGCTAAATGTCTAAATGTAATTGTTTAATACTTTTTTTTTTTTTTTTTTTTTCTAAATTTCAAAAAAATTTTATATAATATAACAATTTTAATAAAAATTGTATGTATGATAAGCAAAATGTATTTGTTAAAGTATTATACTAAAAATTTATAAAGCATATTTAGTTAAAATGTGTTAAACAATTTAAACGAAACAGAAAAAATTAAAAAACACATTTTAAAAATGATCTGATAAATTATTCTGAAATAAAATCGAAATGCATGTTTCTTTTTTTTTTTTTTTTGAGATGGTTTTCTATAATTAATAAAAATTTTTTTTCTATATATTCATTATGAAAAATATTTATAAAATTATTTTAAAAATAAAATTTAGAACATCCATATTTTAAGAGTACTAACTATAGCCATCAGTTATAAATATAAAATTTAAAATATTTGTGTAATTTTTATTTTTCTTATTATTAAAAAGAGTAATTTCGTAATTTTTATATATACTATTTTTAAAAGAGCATAAAATATTTGAAAATTGTTGTACAGTTTTATTATCAGCTATATTTCTTGTTCTCAAATTTTTTACTATAGGAAATAACAAATTTAAATAATAACATATTTTATTTAAAACTTTTAATTTATTAAAATCGTTTAAATTAGGACGTAAAAAATAAAAAAAATCATCTTCATGTAAAATAATTTTTTTAAAACACAAATCTTCTAAAAATTTTAGGATATATATCAATAATGAACTTAAATAAGGATTTATTTTTTTTTTTAAGGAAAAATTATTAATTTCATAAATTTTAAAAATAGTGATAGACGTTTTTAGTATATCATAAATATCGATTATATTCAAAAATAAATTACAACTGTTAGTTCTGTTCTTAACAATTAAAAAATTCAAAAAATTCTTAAACTTATTTAAATAATATAAATAAAATAATGTACTAATTTTTTTGTCTGATAAAAAATTTGAAATATTAATAAAAATTACTACATTTTCCCTGATAAACTTATTTTTATTATTTTCTTTATTTAGAATTATTTTATATATGGAAATAATAATATCGGTAAAGTAATTATTTAACTCTTTTTTGATTTTCATTATGCTTATACAGAATATAGCAAAAGTTTTTATATTAGTTTCTTTTATAATTAAATTTTTCATTTTACTAAAAATGGTATATTGTTTTTTTAAATTTTTAGCATCATAGATAAATAAATCAAGTATATTACATATATCAATTAAATTTATATAATTTATATATTTTAATAATAGATGATTTGTCAGTATATAAATAAATTTATTTTTAAGCTTTCTTTTAATGCTTATAAAAATTATGGAAGAAATGCTGTGAAGAATATTTTCATTAATATTTAAATTTTCCTTATTACATATTGAAGAAAGAGGTATATACTCTCTATTGTCCATATTTATGAAATAACGAACTAATTCAACTTTTGTTACTTTTTCACTTTCTTTTTCATATAATTTATCATCTCTTATTATTTCATCCTTTTTTTTTTCGAATAATTCTTCATCTGTTCGCTCATTTATTTCCTTATTTTTCTTTAATTTATTGTATGATTTGTTTTGAGAAAAAGTAAAATTTCCATTTTTTTCATACATTAAAAAATTCTGTTCTAGCTGTTCTTGAAAATGATTAGGCATATCAAAATAACGAGACGATATGCACAAATGTGATAAAAATGCATAGAATGACAAAAGTTTTAAATTATAATTTTTTAATAAAGACATAAAAGATGATACATCATGCAAATTAAAAAAGTTATTTGAATATTTCGATAATTTACTTTTAAAATAATTTATTTTGACAATCTTATGTTGATTTAAATTATAAACTAGATCGTAAAAATAATTTATATCCGAATCTTTGTTTATAGTATTTATGTTTAAGACAAAAAAATTGTGTGCATGTTCCTTAAAATTATCATTTAATACGGAAAAGAAGATAGAATAAAATATATCATTTTTTTTATGTAAAATATCTATACTTATATAATAGATAAATTTATAATAACAAAAAAGGACAATATTATTAATATTCATATTATTTTCTTCTAATAAGCATTTCAATATAATAGTTAATTCTTTTAAGCTAAAAAGATTAATATTATAAAGAAATATATTATTAAATTCGTTGTATATTTTTACTTTGTATTCTTTCGAAAAATTATTTCTTAATTTATGAAAATTATACAAGATACAAGAGAAGTGAACATAATTCTTTTTACATTCTTCATATATATGAGGCAAAAGAAAATTCATTTTTTTTTCCATATTTTTCTCTTCATATATAAAATTTTTATTTTTTAATGATTTTAAAATTTTTACTATTTCTTCAAAACTAATCCGTGTTTTTTTATTTTTTGTTAGATTTTTACTAACATTTGAATACAATCTTTTTATATTAAAAAAAAGAATTTTATTGTTTTCTTTTTTATGTAAAATTGAATTATAACAAGTAATAATTTTTTCATTATTGTAATAGTCAACTTCTTTCTTTAATATATTTATGAATTTATTTTTTATTAATAACACAAAAATTTTCCTATTGAATTCTGTAAGTGACTTATTTTCTTTACATTTTTTACTGGAGTAAAATAAATCAGTGATACCCCTTTTAATCATTTTTTCCTTTTATTTTTTATTTGTGAAATGTTTTAAAAAAAAAAAAAAAATATTGTTTTAAAATACCTCATAATTTCCTCGTAATTTCATTGAAAGAAAAAAAAATAAAAAATAAATATAAATTATTTACAATTAAAAGAAGAGAATAAAAGGAGACAATATTTTATGAAAAAAAAATATAAAGAAACAAAAAAAAAAAAAACGGATAAAAATAATAAGGCGAATTTATTAGGAAAAAAAAAAAAAAAAACAAAAAAAAATCTTTAATAGTGAGATCAAAATATAGATTAATAGAAAAAAAAAAAAGGCAAATATTATTTAAAAAAAAAAAAAAATTAAATATAAAAAAATATTAATCATTTTATTTTATATATTTTGTTGATTTATTTATTTTATTTTATTTTTTTTTTTTTTTTTTGTGTTATAAAAAGTATTTTTGAAAAAAGCATATTATAACTATTATAATTATAAATAATGATTGTTTTACTTGAAAATTTTTAACACAAAAAATACCATCACCAATAAAAAGGTTATTACATTGACATTTAATTTTATCATTAGCAATTGAGCAAGTTGCATTTATATCACAAAATCCATTATTAACAGAACAATCTTTATTGTCTAAAGGTATACACTTAAAGTGACTAACACTGGTATCTTGAATATAATTAGCTCTACATCTGCATTGTTCTTTACCTTTTTCTATAACATAACAACGAGCATTTTCACCACATTTAGAATATTCGCAGACATAGTTACTTTTAAAATGTATAAAATTGTTTATAACTGTCGTATAAAATCTCACCTTCATAATTACTTGTTCGAGCTTATATACACTTTCATCTATAAGGTTAGTTGTCTCTTTAATATCGTTATTTCTTTTTATTATATTCTTTTTTATTATTTCTGAGTCATCTTTACCTGTGTTGAATAAATCTTTTCCTTTTTGAAAATTATCATTAGCAACACACGTTATAATGTCTAAATCTTCAGGATTTTCTAAAATATCCTTTATTGCTTTTTTTTGTGATTCTCCTTTTGTGTTCATTATACTTTTAATTAAACCTTGAGTAAAAGCAATATTTTCTTCATTATTTTCATTGGTAACTTTTGTTTCAGTTAAATTATTTGCTTCATCTTCACCCCTAATTACTGGATCATTTCTTTCTTGATTCATTAGGGAAAGAAAAAAATTTTCTACCATACTATTATTTATGAGTAAATTTTCACCTTTTGTATTTCTTTCTATTCCCTTATTTTTATTAGACATATTTAAAGTATTTAAAGAATTTTGTTCATCAAGTAAGTTATTAGTGATAAACTGTTCATTAGAGGAAATACCATTTTTGTTTGTTTCATCTTCTTTCTTTTTTATTTTATATCCACCTTTATTTTCTTTATTTAAACCTTCTTTATTTTCTTTTCTAAGTACTTTTAACTGTTCTAATTCATAATTATTATTTTTACCTTTGTTGTTAACATCTCTACTATTTTTTTTCTCTGTTATATTTACTATATTTTCATAGGAATTATCTTTATTGATATTTTCCGTGTTTTTTATATTGGTTACATTTGTGTAAACTACATTTTTTGAATAGATAAGTAACAGTAAAACAAAGGTTAATAATTTGATACATTTTAAAAATATCATTTTTTATGATGAGTGTTTACCTCAGAACTTTCAACAGTTTTCTAAAAATATTATTATTTAATATAAGATTCCATGTATATATATAGTGAGAAAATATATTTAAAAAACATTAGGTTTCTATAAATTATATAAATTAATAGTTTATTATAATAAAAAAAAATATAACAAAATATAAAGAAAATTTTATGTAAAATTAAGGGTAGTAACAAGCAAATATTAGTAAATAAAAAAAAAAAAAAAAAAAAAAAAAAAAAAGTGCGTACGTTGCAACTACGATAATGCACTTCCGTTTAATTCAATTTTATTTTTTTAGTTGTAAATTTTTTATCTTTTTTTTTTTCTATTAAACATAGGAAAATAATATTATTTAATAAATTTTTATAATTTAAAATATAGTTTTAGAATAAACAATAATAGGGAATATAAATTAATACTAGTAAAGAAAACAGTGAATTCTAAACTAATTTTAACCTTAACGTTCAAGTGTGGCACAGCAAAGCATAGAAAAAAAGTAATAAAAAAAAGAAGTGAAATAGAAAAAAACTATTTAAATTAAAATAAAAATTCAGTAGAAACTCATTTGAAATAAATATATCTTTTTTTTACTTCTTACCCGAAAAATTAGAGTTAACAACAAATTTAAATTTTTGGAATAAAAAAAATAATAAATTAAAAACAAGTTTTTAAAAGAGAAAAAAAATATGTTCAGTATGATTTTTTAAACTTTTAAATAAATTGACATAACAAAAAAAAAAAATATTTATTTTATTTTCCTTATTATATATGAATGAAAAAATAATATATACTTTTATTTAAAAATAAATAAGAATCAAATAGTAAAAGAAGTGAATTTTTCTCATAGGGTTAATATTATTTATTTTATATCATTTTTCTCTTTTCTATTACATTTTCACCTAAAAAAAGGAGATGGTGAATTCATAAGAATAAACTAGGGGTGCATTTATTTTTCATTGTATTGTCTTTTTATAAGTTTAGAATTATGTAATAGTGATATATTAAAAAATTTTCATCAAAATGTTGATATATAAAGTAAAAGTTATAATTTTTTTTTAGAAATCAATAATAATAATAAAAAATTTTTAAAATAAATATATATTTTAATTGAAATTTTCTTTAATCTGAAATACTTTAAAAATATTTAGTATATACGCAATTCGATAGCTTTAAATGGTAAGTAAAATTATCTGTGATAATATATAAATACATATGTTTAACATTAAGTATTATTAGAATAACTTTTATCTTAAATGAGAGTTAATTAAAAAATTGGAAAATATGTAATATATAGAACCCATATAACTAATCGTAAATTAATCATAAGGAGCATTATGTGAAGTAAATTGTTTTTATTCTTATTTTTCGTATAAATTTAAATATCATTAATTTTTCATTTCAATTAAAATATATTTTGCTTTTATAAAAAAAAAAAAAATAAATAAATATTACAAAATTAAGAATGCAAAAACTATAAAAATTTATAAAAAACATAATTATCTATTAAACTGCAAAATGTAGCTTCTTTTTATATTCTTTTATTTTTTCTTTTCATGTATAATTCTGCATAAATGTAATATAAAGATTTATTCATTAATTTAAATACTGCTACATGAATTATCATAAATAAAATAGACTTATAGAATAATAAATTTTTTTTAAATGAAAAAAAAAAGATAATTACCTTTAAAACTGTTTTTTTATTAAGAAGAAAATTTATAAAATTCTTAATACATATGTAATGAAAATTTATAAAAAATTATGCAAAAAATGTTTTGTGATTTACACAATTTATATATAAAATGGTGTTCAAAAATAAAAAAAAATTTTTCATAAATTTTAAAATATATATAAATTAAAAATTGTTAGTTTCACTTTTTTTTTTATTAAAAATATTTTTTTAAAATATTTTTTTAGTAAAAAGAGAGAAATAATATATTAAAATTTTTCAAAAAAAAAAAATTTTATTTGTTTTAAAGTTTTTGAACAAATTGGTTAATAAAATAAAAAAATTTACAAATGAAATTTTTTTTTGAAACTAAATATAAATACTCTTTTTCTTACACTAATAAATTTTTATGTACCTTAGCTTAAAAAATTTTTATCTGCATGGATATGTTTAAAATAAAATTTTTGGAATTTATTAAAAGGGTAAAGATGATATAAATAAATTTAAATTTGAAGTATAATTAAAAAATATATTTAATATAGAAAGTCATAATACGTATGTATTATTATAAAAGCAATTAATATCTCGTTAATGAAAGAATATAATGCTAATAATTCTTTTTCTTTAAATAATGTTATCAGTAAAAATGATAATGTTATAACAAATAATGACAATGATTCCAAATTTGTGAAAAGTGAAAGAGACAAAAATTATGATGAAAATATAGATAATAATGGATTCAATAATTTCGAAGAGAGAAAAAATATATCCATTGATAAAATTGGATTTTATGAAATTGTTTTGAAACAACTCCTAGATGACAATTTAATTGATTCCTTTAATGTTTTGAAAAAAGAGTTAAATTTACAAGAAAATAAAAATGTAGAAAATGATTATCTTTTTAATTTATATGCAAAAAATATATATAAATCTTCTGAACCTAATAATGAAAAAAATATAGAAAGTTTAGTTAATATTGAATCGATGATTAAAAGAGTAAAATCATTCAATGATTCAGTGTTAAATTATGATATAAAAAGTGAAAATATAAAGAGGTTATACAGATATGAAATTAATGATCATATTGAACTAATTCATAGAAATAAATGTATTTGTTGTGATACCAATTACTCACATAATATTTTATGTTCAGGTGGTTTAGATAATGTTGTGAAAATAGCAAAAATATATGATAAAAAAAAAAAAGTTTATAATATAGAGAAGCATAATGGAAAAGTAAACTGTGTAAAGTTTCACCCATTTAAAAATATTTTATTTTCGGCTAGTGATGATTGCACAGTTCAAATTTTTGATCTTAACAAATTATTAAAAAAGAAAAAGTTAGCAAATAAGGTTAACATAAATGAAAATATAAACGAAACATATAAGAATATTTTAATACAAGATAAAAATCCGTTTATTTGTTTGTATGTTCATCCATGTGGTGATTTTTTGTATACAAGCAATAAAAATGAAAATATATTAAAAATGTATGACCTTGAAACTTTAACATGCTATATTTCTTTGGATAAAAATAGTTTTCATACATCATCGATTAATAGTATTAGTGGAACATCAGATGGAAGTATATATTCATCCGTTTCTGACGATGGTCATATAAAATTTTGGGATGGTCATAATTCTAAATTAATACACACACAATGTAACGCACATAATGGTTATTCTGTTCAATCAGTTAAATTTAATAAGTCTAATTTTTATATATTAACATCTGGACTTGATGGACAAACCAAAATTTGGGATATAAGAAATTTTAAATCATTATTTACATTTGGTAATGGATTATCCTGTTCTTTTAATAAAAGTATTTTTATGAATAATGAATCATTTATAGCTAATATAATTCATACAAGTAATAATTTATCTTCGTCACATTTTTATATATACAATTCATATTTTGGAAATATGGAATATAACATACAAAATATACACAATGACCAAATTTCTGATATTGTTAATGCAAAAGACTCATTGAATGTTCACACAGCTAGCTATGATTATGTATGCAAAACAATTAAAATTGAACAGAAATATTTGGATGATTATAACTAAATGAAAAAATAATTTTTAATTCTAGTAAGATGATATATCTTTTTTTTTTTTTTCTTTTTTTTTAGATTTTTTTATTAATTTATATTTCATATACGATTATGAATTATTTTTTTTTTTTCAATTATAACTATATATGTTATATAAATATTTTATTAAAAAATGCATCTTAATAATTTTATGGTTTATTTCTCTTTATTTTAAAACATTTCAAAAAATTATTACAATTTTAACTATTTAATTATTTTTTTAATATTTTCTTATTTTTTAAAAATTCATTATATTCCTTAATTATTTATATTCTCCTGCTTTATTGTGTCTTACGTATTTATATTTTAGAAATTTCATGTTAAAATTAAATGTAAAAAAATAAAAATATAGGACTAAAGTTTTAAATATCAAAAAACAAAAAAACATCATGGAATTTCAAGAATTAGGATTTATTAGTTTTTTTTTATTTTTTTATTTACAAGATTAAAAAACTTATATTTATAGTAAAATTAAAATAATGAAATACTCAAATCTAAGATATATTTAAGATTAATAAGCAACTTTTCCTTTATTATTAGTTCAAAATAATTTAATGTTAAACATATAATTATAAAATAGAAATATAATACAAATATATTTTAATTATTGATTTAATAAAAATTAACAAAAAAAAAAAGTTTCTTACAAGCACATGGATATGTATGTTAATATTGAAAAGTATATATATATATATATATATAAATACATGAATTGATAAAAATATAAAGAAATCTATAAAAATAATAAGAATTTTATTAAGATATATAAGAATTTAAAGAAATGCATGTAAATTTACAGAAACATATATGAACTTGTAAAAATACAAAATGAAGAGCAGAACATTCGATAATTTATTTGCGAGTTTTTTAAACATTTCTAGCAGTAGTGGTGATAGTATAGATAGTTCAAGTGAAAAATGTAGTTCAGAAATAAGTGTATCAAGTTTATCTACAGAAAATTTATTTGATAATGAAAATATAAATCCAAGTAAAACAAATAGCCAAAGAAAATCTAGTATAGCATATGATGAAGAAAAAGAAACATCAAATTCAGATTTAGAATATGAAATTACTTCGAAGTATGTTAAATCAATACTAAAAAATAAAGAAAAGAAAAAATTTTATGAATTTAAAAAGTATTTATCAGATACTGATGTATTTTCTACATTTGTACAAATATTCTTACATTTAATAAAAAATAAAGAGGAAATAAAAAATCCATATGATTACATTATAAACTTTTTTAAATTAAAAAATAATGATTATGATAATGAAAAAAAAAAGGTTTTAATAGAAGAAAATAAGTTTTACAAAAAAGAAAATGAAGAGCTAAATAATAAAATAAATTTATTAGAAGTTGAGATATATGATATACAAAAAAAAAATTGTTGTAATACCATCGTGAAAATTTTTTTTAAAGATGATGATGAGCAATTTAATGCTAGCGACATTTTTAATAAAATTATTAAAAATAACAAAAAATTTAAAATTGAACCGTCTTTTATATTTACAAAAGATATATTTTTTCTTTTTTTAAATTTTTTAAATGATGCTACTAGGACGAAGTTACATGACATATTAATTCAAAAGACATGTGAACAAAATCATTCCTTTTTTTATGATAAATTATTAAAAAAGCTAATGAAGTTTATAAATTATTACTTATCTTTTGATAAGTCGTCTATAAATGAACATCTCTAAACATTAAACGAGAAAATAATTTTATATAAAAAGAATTATTTTATATAAACATATGAATATTAAAAATGTTAAAAAGAATAAAGAAATTACAAAAAAAAAAAAAAAAAAAAAAAAAAAAAAAATATAATATTACAATTTT